GGTTTAGGGTTTAAGGTTTTGAGTTTGATTAAGGGTGAGAGAGTTGAGGGTCTGGGGCCTTAGGGGCTAAGGGCGTAGGTTTTAACGGTTTAACATGTTACACATTGCTGACAGGACAAAGCCCAATAAGGATTGCCGGCCCGGTGTAAACATGCGTAAACTAAGAAGCTACGTAGGTCTTAAGTTGCCTGGCCACGACTGCCCTGCCCAGCTAGCAGGTTTCAATCAACGAGTTCGCGGACCCGAAGGGCGCAGGTATTCCCTGGAGGCAGCCCCAAATCCAAAATCTGCATAAATCTGCATACCCGAAGCTTGTTTTTGTTTTGACCCCCATTAAATAAATATCTCTACCGGGACTGAGCTTGTAATCTTTCATCTTCAATCCTTCAACTCCATTGGTCCGTGGCCGCGTCCTTTTTTGCAGATGCACCACATGCTGTGTCCGCCGCACGCCACGCGAGTCGAAGCGGCGGGGCATGTCGCGTGCCATCCCTGGGCACACTTTAGGGAGTCTTAGGATATTTGCGTGGGTCTTTGGGCTTGACTTTGGGGATTTTGGGGCTTGAGCGTTTGGATTGGGTTGAGGACTTCAGCTTAATTCATAATTCTGTTGTTTTTTGGGTGTAAATTTGAAGCTTTGGGCACGGTCTTGTGTGTGGGCTTCTCAGACACGACGTTCAGGGTCAAGAGGGGCCCCAAGCTATGCACTGAAAAGGGGCTCTGGGGGTGTAAATTTGCACCTAGACTTGATCCTTGAACCCTCTAAACCTCTATACCCTGAATAGTAGTCAGGCATGGGTCTGGGTCTGGCGAACCCGAATTTTCAATAGACAAGGTGCGGATAGTCGCCGTGGCCAGTACGGCAAACCCGACCGCCTTCTTGACGGAGGGAGGGTGATCGTGAAAGAGTCCCTTTGCATTGACCTCTTATCGTAGGTCCTCATTGAGGTTCTAAGAGCCAGTTCTGAACTCTGCAGTCTGGTAAGCTGCCTCATGTCCATCTTGCAAGCTTTTCTCATGTCGACTAACCGTGATTGCCTGAAACAAGGAAGCAGCCCGTGGATCTAATCAAAGCCACTGCGCACTGCCCCTGCAGAACCTCCAGTATATGAGCCATAATAACTTAACTATAAACGCAGCCAGGGACTTTTGAGAAATCCCCCATATTGGACGTTGATGCCCTCCCGTTTCGCTCCTTGGCCGCTTCCTTCGTCGACGCCAGGTTGTCCAGATCTGAGTTTCAGGGTTGAGGATATCGGGCTTGAGGGTTCAAAACATGTTTAAAACCCTACAATTTCAATTTTAGGGTTTCGGCACGCACACTCGCACTCTCCAGGCATGGCATGCGTCCACAGGCCTGACGGATAAAATCAACTCCTGGCCACTGCACAACAGCCACTACAAACCCAGAATCAAGCAAACAAGACAAACGGCCTTAAGCCAGCATGTCAGAGAGTTTCCTTTTTTGTCAACGCCTGCTGGTCTTAGAAATCCTCATGCACAGCTTACCCCCCCGTCCCTGAATGGAGGGCATTGGGTTTCAAGGCTCTTGTTAAGCTTGTGCTCGGGTTGAAGGCTGCTCCCACTGTCGCAATCAGCCGCTTGATGCGTCGGTGTTTTATTATTACAGCGGGTGTTTTTATCTCCACTGCCACTTTTGAGGGGGATGTGCTCTTGCTCCTGCTCTGGCTGCGCTGGCTTTTGCTCCTGCTTCTGCTGCGTCTCTTGCCCCTGCTCCTGCTCCTGCTCTTGCTGTTGCTTTGCTCCTGCTCTTGCTCTTACTCCCGCTCCTGCTTTCGCTTTGCTCTTGATGCTGCTCTTCCTGATGCTCCCGCTTTTGCCCTTGCTCCTGCTCTAAGGGTGTTTGGAACCTCGAAACCCTCCCCCCCAATTCAGTATAGGTTTAAAATGGCAGGGATGATTTCGGGAGGATTGGGCCGAATGTGTTTTATTATTAGGGGGGTGTCTTATAAAAGGGCAAGCGAGTTTAGGGTTTAGAAAGTTCAGATCGTTCAGAGAGTCGGTGGAGGGGGGATGTGAAATTGAACGTCGGCCGTCCAGGGTCGGATAATCAAGTCTGCCTTTGCAGCGTCAGAGTCTGGGCAGGCTCAACCCCTTGTCGTGCGGCAAAGCTACATCGGAGCACAACTGGTGGCCAGGTAAGTGTAGTGTTAAGTTTATGGGGTAGCAAGCAAGCAGCACAGCCGATTCCAGTACTGACACAACAACCCTGGCGCGTAGAATCTCAAGATGGACGCTTGATGGAAGCTCACCCAACACTGGCTCAGTTGAGACTGAGTCATCCAGCCGTGCTTTGCAGCCGGGCGGTGCCAAGATTACTTTCTAGCCTAGCGCCGGCCAGAACTATCATCATGCCAGCCTTCGGAAGAAAAATCACAGCTGCCGATGAAGTAGGGTGCACACGCTTTTCTCACGAAGGCTGTAGAACTGAGAGTGACGGTCGGCAGTTAAGATTCTACGACTGCTCAGAAATGCTATGAGATTTAGAAGTTCTGGCAAACGCATGCTACGAGTAACGCTCAGGAGACTGTCTCCTCTCTGCTGTAGGTGACCCACATGAGTTTGACGGTGTAAGGGGCAGCAGGCTTTTCATGGTAACGTGATGGACGGCCGAGGTGCGAGAGGTGTCGGTATGCATGCCATGCCAAGTAGCGATTGTGCACTTGGGTCTTCTGCTCGACCGACTTCCCGTAAAGGTCGCCAAGCAGGCCGATGTAGACGTTAAGAATCACCACGGTCGCTGCGAGCTTCAGCACGAGGAACTCTGCAATCAGGCTGTAATGGAAACTGTCGCTGGGCCCGTCTTCTAAGTCCCTAATGCTGACATCGCCCAGAATTTCGAACTGGAAGATCTTCAAGAAATTGTTCAGGACATGTTCTCCACTGCCTGTGTTCTCCCTGACAGGAAATGCGTAATACGCATGAAAGGACCCAAGCACAACGATCAGGAGGAAAAGCAAAAAGGACAGGGACTCGGGCCTAGAAACGGCGTGAACAACCGGTACGATGTACCGGCCCAGTCGCTCTACCTGCACTAGGCCAATTGCCACGTGATACCAGCGGACCAGCACCAGAAAGGAGAGGAGTTGAGGGCGCTGGCGAAAAAGTGGCCCGGCAGCTTCATTGTCACCGTACACCATGACAACGAAAGATCGACACGCAAAGTAGGTTGCGAACATCTCGGCCTGGAACACGAACAAGTTCCAGAGCGTCGCATGCTTGACCACGCCAGCCAGGAACCCGCCTCGCATCGACTTGTATAGAACAATCCCACCGCCTAGCATCATGGTGTATGAGTAGCCAGTCCATGCGCTGAGCAGAATAAAGCAAACTTGCACCGTCTTCGCGGGCTTGTGTTCGGTGTTGGAAGCGATACTCAAAAACAGCACGATGACCAGGTATGCCGCGTGTACCAACCACGCAACGGCCCGTGACAAGGAAGTTCGTTCCAGTGCTTCATCGAGGAGCGATTTGGAGAGAACAGTCGTGAAGGATTGGCTCTCTCGCCCGGTGTCCAAGAGCACCTTCAGCATTCGGCTCAGGTCCATGTCGCTGGAACTCAATAGCCGCACTGCGGGTGTGATGCTGTAGCTGATCCGAAAAACACCCCTGCGAGACAAACACCAGCCCGCATCGCAGAAGACATTGCCACAGCTGCGGTCCTGGAACCTGTCGTCACCTCCGAGTTCTGCTGCCTGCAACTGCATCGGAGTCATCTGGTGGCCTTCTTTGAAGGCGACGCGGAAGCGGCCAAGATTGCCATCGAGTATATCCCAAAGCATGGATCGATCCCATTCACTCAAGTCAGGGCCAGGCCCCATGTTCGCAACGGCCCGAAGGCTCTGCATACGACGATTGGCTCCAAACATACTGAGATCTATGCTCAAACTCTCCAAGAAGTTATGTAGGCTTCGCTGGTCATCCTCCACCGACAAGGTGGTAACGATCTGCATAAAGCAAGCCGGTGTGAACTCGTTCAGCTCCGTCACCCACTGATCATACCACTCGCATAGTAGGATTTCGTCGTCCTTGAGATTCTCCGCGTTGGCAAGGATGCCCTCGCTGACAAGGATGGACGTCAGGGGCTCAAGATGTTCAAGCTCGTCTTGGACTTCCTTCTCCCACTGCTTGAGCTGGTGGAGATGCTCTGCCCAAGCCAAATCCCGTTCACCTTCGCGGGTCTTTGACTTCTCAGACATCTGGCAAACTGCCTTCTGGTTCTCGCGAGCTTCGTAGATCCGAGCTCGTCTTTGCAGCATCCAGTAAGACTTTGCCATGGCACTGGCTGCCTTTCGCCAGTCTTGACGGCTTCGTGTTGCGTACATCAGCTCTAGCCAGCGGATTCTGTGCACTTCTCGGGCTGGGAAGTCGTCATCGATGTCGGATGTGGACAGCTGTGACCACGAACTGCCGAGCGACTCTGTGTCTTCACTGCTCACCTTCATGTCAGTAGCCATCGGAGGTGCTCAGGATGTCGAGCAGAGGATCTTGAGCCCTAGCCAACGGCTCCGAGAAGAACGAGCAGGGGGCCTGTCTCGCCTTTTTTATACAGCGTTAGAACCCACTATGGCAGTCAGAGTCGGGACCCTGATCCACTGAGATGCGCACCGGCGCCATCACCGATCCTCAGGTTTTCTTTGTGTCGCACCGTGAAAGCTGGCCTTTTTTTGTTTTGCAGATCAAACCTACACTGAGCCCTAATCTACCCATAAGCCCGCAGACCCAAAAATGAAGAAGTCAGGCCAGTCCGGCCCGAAGCCAACAAGAGCTGAATCCTGATTTCGGCTGCCCGAGGCAACGGAGCCCCCAACCAGGCGGAAACGTTCAAGCCCAAATGTTGTGGGTGTGTTGCGCAGTGTACTTCGGGGATTGGGATGTGTGGTAAGATTTGTAGGCACTCTCTGAGGCTATAAGCCTAGGCTTAACATTCTGAGCCGGGTAGCACTAGCGTGGCCGTGCCCTCGGGGACGAGGTTTTTCCAGACGGCTTGCAGCCACTCTTCCTGCTGCCTGCCGCTTGGGATGGCTATGAACTTAGAAGTACATGTGGAGGGAAAGCCATGAGCTCATCCCACGTATCTTACATGTAGCAGTATTCCGATTGAGGCTATCCTATACAATAGACGTACTTACTTGCCACGTAATAATCACTAATGCTCTAGGCCTACATCCAAAACCCTGCAACAAACAATTGACCAAGTCCACCGACACTCCAAGTCAGCCAAGCCAGTCCCTCTCGCTGCAGGCCGAGGCTACTTGCGCCAGGTGGCCGCAAACTCCGCAGGTGCCGTCCTGAGTGGGTTTGGTGTAAAAGCTCTTCGAGCTTGCTTATGAGTTTGTGGAAGCCTTTCCCGACAGTAAACCCAATCTCAAAGCCCGTAGACCCGTAGGGCATCGGGTCTGCCAGGTTTTCTGGCCGGGACCTGGGATCTCGGGCCTCGTTACTCGTTTACAACAAACCTTCCCGAACTCTCAGCCACATGAATCTTCTGGAAGGGCTGAAAGTGATACTCCGACGACGTGCTGGAGCTCACACACCCCAAACCATGAAGCCTCCAAAACTTTCAACACTCAAGCACTTACCGAATACATCCTGCTCTTATCGGCTGAAGGCGCTCCATTAGCGAAAGGCTGCCGATCTCCATGCTCCCCATCCTTCCGTTTGGCTGGCGAGTTGAAGCTTCGGATCCGGGCTCTGGGGCGCGCGGTCTGTGACTCACCGTTGTAAGACCTCCCATGTTCGGTTTTGTTTGCCATCTTCAGAGGAAAATAGGAAGAGGCACCAAGCCAAAGTCCCTCCATGAACTTTTTTCGCTCCTACTATTCCGACCCTTCTGGTCGGGTTCCTTCATACAGTTACTGTCTACTCGACCCTGCGCCAAAACGGACCCCGACTCTGATGATTCAGAACCCCCTGAAGCAGCCATTTTAGTAAACCTGGCTCCTTTTTACCGGAACCCTCCCGTGTTTTCCCCGGCCTTGTGGCATCCTCAGACCGACCGAAGACCTCGGCCAAGTCCTCGGAAGCAGCGCCGGCGAGCCAGCCCTGGCTCAGGCGAGCGGCCTCGACTCGGATGCAGGCGCACAGCGCTCGTTTCTACGATTACTTGTCTTATCATGAATCTTGCACCATGAGCCCATGAAACTATATACCGTCAATTGCTTTTGCATCCAGGACTCTTGCGAGCAGCCGGGCACCGTCAATTGCTTAATACCGAAAACCCCACTATTTATGTATAAGATTTGTTTACACCACTAGTTGCTGGCTTGATATGCCGTACATGATGCCGTTCATGATGCCTTTTGTCACACCTGGTTGTTCCTACTACTCTGCAAATTTCTTATCAGCACTACGGTCGTCATTGTTGGTGTTCGTTGTGCTGGTAGTATAGGGGCTACTGTTCCTGATTACACGAGAAACCACGAAAGACACGAATGAGGAGCGCAAAGCGAGCAAGAGGAAAACCTGAAACCCTAAAATAACTCTGGAGGCTTCTGGATGGATTGAGGCTCGAAGCTCGGATCGAGGGCTTGAAGATGTGGTGTTAACGGTTCGCCCATCACTCCTAGAACTTTAGCTGTTCAAGCTTTCTTTAATATAAACTTTCAGAAACGGCCACAAAGCTGACTCAGCTGGGCAGCTTTAGCATAGCTGTAGGCGCCAGGAGAGGGTGGGCTGGTGATCACGGCTTCAACAGGTCGGCTGAGCTGCAGCGTCCGTGCATCCCCACAGCCGGTTCTCACCAAGTCCGGGAAAGGCATCGAGGATCGAAGTGCAGTCAGCTGAGCGCCATAGAGCTCCACGGTGCCGAGGAACATCGGCCGGCAAAGCCTCTGTGGCGGATCTCCCCAGCCCAGAGACGCCACGAAGCCTTTGGAGCCCGACAAAGCGAAGACGTCCTGGCCGTCGCCTGCGCGCTGCAAGGCGACGAGGAGGCAGAACCAAAGGGCGGACGTCACGGGATCTTCTGGTAAACCACGCAGGCGGCCTCTCAAGTCGTCCCAGCTCAGCTCTTTCTCGTCCGGAGCCAGGGCCCTCGCCTGAGCTCGCAGCTCGTCCAAGCTGATGCGCTCCACATCAGTGTGGTGTCGCGCCACGAAGGCCGCCAAAGGCGATGCATCCGAGCCTGTAGCAGCTTTCCCTGCAAGCGCTGCCTCGATAAGGACCGTGCCAGATCCACAGAATGGGTCCAGGACAGCAGAGGCAGAAGGATTTAGCCACAGCAGCTGGCGTGCCGTCATCGCCTGCACCAGGGGGAGGGGGGGGGGGGAATGGGGCTACATTCACTGAAACTCTGATGTCTGTGTTGCGTGATGCTCCGAGGCAGAGGGGCCATCGACAAGCCCCGATCTCAAGATTCCCCCGTCCGAGATGACCACTGCCTGCATGGATGCGAAATACTTGAAGAAGCCGTGGGTCAGCTGGTCCTGCAAAGCCCAGCTGGTCGAAAATAGATGGTATCTGGATAAGGGCCGTGAGACCGAGCCGATAAGTAAGGGTG